TTTCCTTTGATTTATTTCCTGTGATTTTTTCCCTCTAAAAAAATCCCATGACTCATCAGTAGAACCAGTAAATTATTAGATCTAATGACTTACTATTTAGTAGATCATTAGATCTAATGACAAAAGTTGACTAATTTGATTTTAGCTAACTGCTAAAACTTAATGCCAAGAAGAGAAACAGGTCCATACAATTACAAAAAAAATTTAATTAACAAAGTCTATAGACCCTACAAATAATAATTAATAATAACTTTAGCTTTGTCATTTGTTAATTTAATAAACTTTTAGTTGAGTTTTATTCTAAACAATCTAGTCTACTTACATAACATAAAAGAATTGCTCAATAGGCCTATTATATAAGGAAGTAGATTCTACATCCAGATCTAGAAGTAGGACCCAATCTAGATTCTGTAAATTTGATTTGATTATAATTACTTTTTTTACTATATTAATATGAATTAGAATATTTAGTATTTAGGTTCTAGATCTAGGCATATTATTAAAAAATTAAAACAATTTAAAATAAATATAGATCTAATCTATATATTAAATAAATACTCTAGCTAGTTTAGAATAGATCTAACAGCTCTTGACTTACATTCACATTGCCTTACACCTTACATTTTACAAGTTACTTATCAATCATCAATGATACATTAATGAAGTAATACTGATTATTATTAATTACTAATAATTAGTTTTTATCACTCAAAGTTAAATTAATAATTCATAACTATTAATATTATTAATTAATTGATGAATTATTAACATATTAATTTATTTAGGAGATACTAAATTAGTAAATAAAATATTGAAAGGAAATAAAACGATTGTAGGAAAAAAGTCACAGGAAAAACAGTAACAGGAAAAAAGTCACAAATATATATTTGCATAGAATTTGTTAATACTTTTATGAATTATATATTCAGAGACTGCAAATAACTTAGAATTAATTAAATGTAATGTGTGTAGGTTGTATATGCATGGTAATTTTTATAATTCATATAAAAATATTTAGTATGAAGTATGTAGATTGTAATTATGTTAAACATAATATTGATAAGATTTAATAGAATGTTCCAACGTTCTTGGTTTTCATCGTGTTGTTTTTAAAATACTAACAATAAACTACTGTGAAATGGTAAGTTCAACTGACTTGCTGCCCTCAACTCATTGCAACAATAGTTATGATTAGTTAAACCACCTTTACTGCCCACATTTATCACGCTCATTACATAACAAAGCATAGGATCAAAACAGAAAGCCGACAAAGTTCAAAGGCTGTCATTGACACATAACGTCAACAACACAAAATATGTTCGGACAATGCCTACTGAGGAGAGGCGGACGGCAAAACATATGCAACACAATGATGTGCCTAAAATTTTTGTATAATTAATTTTTCTACCGCGTGTTTAACTAAATACGTTACAAAAGTTGAGATTGTTGTGTAAATTATCTTAGAGCATTTTTAACTACAATTGTTATAAATCATAATGCTTTTAACATCTATAAATAATATATGCTATCAAAAAATACAACCCAAAACAATAAACATACACATTTTTATAATTGTCAACATATATTGACATATAAATCAAAGTATTTCTGAAAAGATTTTTTGACTTTTTTTCTGTGACTTTTTTTCCATTGTGACTGTTTTTCCTAGCAAAAACTGTGACTTTTTTTCCGTTCACCAATAAAACAGGCACCCTCAGCCATACAACTCATTCATACACATTTTTTTATTACTCTGATTCTGATTACATTATAAAAAATCATCTAGATTCTAGATCTAGATTTCTAGTTCTAGATCTAGATAGAAACTAGATCCATCTAGTAGATCTAGATATCTAGTAGCTAAATTAATAACATGAAATAAATTGACTAGTCACTCTAGTAGTCTAGCTAGACTAGACTAGAGTCAGTCTAGTCTAGATCTAGCTAGTCTAAGTCAGTCTGATTCTAGATCTAGTGTCACCTAGTGTAGTGTAGAGTGTAGAGACTAGAGAGAGACTGAGTGTTTTAACAAAAACTTACCTATTTATAAAGCTCTATCTATATTTTTTATTTTCTGTTACTATACAAGTAGAATTAGATCTAGATCTAGATCTAGATCTAATAAATTAATGACCATTTCAAATAATAAAGTAAACTAGCTTAAGACTTTAAGGCACGAGAAATTGTATAGCACTACTATTTTTCAGAGTTGCGCGCACCTGCCGGAAGTCCATAACAATATTCTCCCGCCCCCTTCCAATGTATATTTCAACTTAGAGATATTTTTATTTTTGTTAAGCAATTCTATTATTATCATTGGTCCAAGGCAAACATGAAATTTTCATTGAAAAACGCAAGTATACGCACAGAAACACTTAACACTGCGTGGTGATAAGAATAAAATTGGCTAGGTTAAATTCTACGAGAGACAGTGGCGCTTTTATAAAGAATTATTTTAAAATACCGTGGAGTGGATTGGCTTAAAGTGCAGAGTTTCTTCCAGGCATCTCTTCGGGGGGGGGGGGGGGGGGGGGGGGGGGGGGAAGGGGGGGGGGAGGCCCCCCGAAATTTTTTTACCGCCCCCCCCCCCCCGAACGAAATGAAATTTATATAATTTATATAGATAATATATTCTTTTAACAGTGTCCGCCCCACCCCCCAAAGAAAGTTTACCGCCCCCCCCACGAAGATTTCAAGTGCCCCCCCCCCCCCCGGAGAAAAAAGTCTGGAAGAAACACTGTTAAAGTGGAGTAGTGTGGAGTAGTATGGAGTAGAGTAGAGTAGAGTAGAGTAGAGTAGAGTAGAGTAGAGTAGAGTAGAGTAGAGTAGAGTAGAGTAGAGTAGAGTAGAGTAGAGTAGAGTAGAGTAGAGTAGAGTAGAGTAGAGTAGAGTAGAGTAGAGTAGAGTAGAGTAGAGTAGAGTAGAGTAGAGTAGAGTAGAGTAGAGTAGAGTAGAGTGGAGCAGAGTAGATTGCATTAAGAATGAAGTTGAACGTTGTACCTCAAATCAATCAAAAATGGACAGAAAGCAGTGAATATCTTATGTATAAAATTTCATCCACCTAAGCAGTGTTTCTTCCAGACTTTTTTTCTCCTGGGGGGGGGGGGGGCAGGACACTGTTAAAAGTATATATTTTCTATATAAATTTCATTTCGTTCGAGGGAGGGGGCGGTAGACTTGCGATGCCTGGAAGAAACTCTGCACCTAGCTGAAATAGAGTTAAGAACGACTCCTGGGTATCAAAGGTCACCCAAAAATTGAAAGCAATCCGGTTTTAGATATAATACTTACATTTGAAATTTCTTTGACCTAAATGAAACAGCAATCAAATTATCCTCACCGACATAAAAGTAATCGAATCCTCACCGACATAAAAGTAATCGAAGTCGTTCGAAGTCGTTTATCGATACCTGCTAATGCAATTTTTATTTGCCAAATTTCGTCCACCCAACTTAAATGTATACAAATTTCGCCCACCCAACTTAAATGTATACAAATTTCGCCCACCCAACTTAAATGTATACAAATTTCGCCCACCCAACTTAAATGTATACAAATTTCGCCCACCCAACTTAAATGTATACAAATTTCGCCCACCCAACTTAAGTGTATAAAAGAAAGTAAAAAAAACACGTGCATGTCAATCTCCAATACATATATCAACACATATCAACACATATCAACACATACAAACACATATCAACATATAACAACATATATCAACATATATCAACACATATCAACACATACGAACACATATCATGTAGAATGGGAGACCCTACAATTCCTAACTTCGGCCAATCTGAATGTAGAATAAAGATAATTCATCTAAAACAACTTTAGTGACTGTAAAATACAGATAATTCAACCAAAACAAGTTTAGTGACAGTAGAATAAAGATAATTCAACCAAAACAACTTGAGTGACAATAGAATACAGATAATTCAACCAAAACAACTTGAGTGACTGTAAAATACAGATAATTCAACCAAAACAACTTGAGTGACAATAGAATACAGATAATTGAACTAAAACAACTTGAGTAACAATAGAATACAGATAATTCAACCAAAACAACTTGAGTGACTGTAAAATACAGATAATTCAACCAAAACAAGTTTAGTGACAGTAGAATAAAGATAATTCAACCAAAACAACTTGAGTGACAATAGAATACAGATAATTCAACCAAAACAACTTGAGTGACTGTAAAATACAGATAATTCAACCAAAACAACTTGAGTGACAATAGAATACAGATAATTGAACTAAAACAACTTGAGTAACAATAGAATACAGATAATTCAACCAAAACAACTTGAGTGACTGTAAAATACAGATAATTCAACCAAAACAAGTTTAGTGACAGTAGAATAAAGATAATTCAACCAAAACAACTTGAGTGACAATAGAATACAGATAATTCAACCAAAAAAACTTGAGTGACAATAGAATACAGATAATTCAACTAAAACAAGTTTAGTGACAGTAGAATAAAGATAATTCAACCAAAAAAACTTGAGTGACAATAGAATACAGATAATTCAACTAAAACAACTTGAGTGACTGTAAAATACAGATAATTCAACTAAAACAACTTGAGTGACTGTAAAATACAGATAATTCAACCAAAACAACTTGAGTGACAATAGAATACAGATAATTCAACCAAAACAACTTGAGTGACTGTAAAATACAGATAATTCAACCAAAACAACTTGAGTGACAATAGAATACAGATAATTCAACCAAAACAACTTGAGTGACTGTAAAATACAGATAATTCAACCAAAACAAGTTTAGTGACTATAGAATACAGATAATTCAATCAAAACAACTTGAGTGACTATAGAATACAGATAATTCAACCAAAACAACTTGAGTGACTGTAGAATACAGATAATTCAACCAAAACAACTTGAGTGATGGTATAATTCAACTAAAACTACTTAATTGCAATCAAGTAAAGAAAGTAATGCAAAGATTGAATGAAATCTTACCTGCAGTCTGGCCTCAGGAGCGTGGGAACATTTTCTCCTGCCCCACAACACATCACTTCACCAGACAACCCACAACACATCACTTCATCAGACAACCCACAACACATCACTTCATCAGACAACCCACAACACATCACTTCATCAGACAACCCACAACACATCACTTCATCAGACAACCCACAACACATCACTTCATCAGACAACCCACAACACATCACTTTGTAAAGATCAGCACACAAAAATTAGAGGATATTGACGCCGATAAAAAGGCGATTCATGGATCTTGTAAGACAAGTTCTTCTATGTAAAACTGGAGGGGGGAGCGGACCAAGGCTATAGCCTAACGCAGTGGCGTAGCTTTCAGGCTTACAGAGCGAGAGAAAGGGGGGGGGGGGGGGGGTATATTGAAAACACAATTAAAATTGAAAGTACGAGTTAATCAAATTCCTAACTTTAGAAACTTATTTAGCAATTTTCTACATAAATACATGGCTTTAATTTTGATTGAAGATTTCTACACACACCACACACACACACACACACACACACACACACATATATATATATATATATATATATATATATATATATATATATATATATATAGGCTATATATATATATATATATATATATATATATATAGCATATATATATATATATATATATATATATATATATATATATATATATATATATATATATATATATATATATATATATATATACACACTGGCAGTATACCCGTGCTCCGCCACGGTGAACCTTTTTTTAAATGTACCAACTTAAGAACAGAACAAAAGAAAACACAGACACAAAAAAAACACAACAAAAGACACAACACAAACACAACACAAACACAACCACAACACAAACACAACACCACACAAACACAACACAACACAAACACAAAACAAACATAACACAACACAAAAACAACACAAACACAACACAAACATAAACACAAACAGAACACAAACATAAACACAACACAAACAAAACACAAACCGTGACGGCTAGTATTCTATAAAATGGTATATCTTCTTGTAGTTTGGTGCAGGTGTCTATAAAAGAGCTTTCTGATGCGACAGACCAAAACGAATTCCCCTCTGTGCTAAAAAAAAGACAGACAAAATCGAACAAAGTAATAAAAAGTAAATTCTTTTCCACCCGATGTAATGTTTTTAAAAGGGAAGTAATTGTGTTTTCCTAATATATCAAGAGGGAAGTAAATGCTTAAGGACTAAATATAAATAATTTTCAGACATCATTAGAATTTTTGTAAAAGAGGATATTTTTTAAAAAATGTTATTTAATGAACATGCCGACAATTATTACTATCAGTTTGAAAAATGAAAATTGTTTTACAACACTTTCAGTATTAATTTTTTAAACAATGCATTTAGACAAAGAGTACTTTAGATATTTAACACTTGGCGCTATAGAAGTATCGTTTTTTATTACATTCTTTTGTAATCCACGACCAACATACATTTAAAAAACATACAGAATTGAACTTTATATATTAGATATAAATCTTAGCCTGCAATGACATTTTAGATAAACTTATCTGTAAATGCTCGTGTCTTGTGTGCTAATCAAGCTGCATGTACACTTTGCCCACCAGGGTTAGGGAATAAGGTCTATGTGTAATTAGGGACGTTTTAGAAAATATAAACGCAAGCACAAATACAAACGTAAACATAAACGCGAACATAAATGCACACATAAACATACAAGCTACAATTAAACACAAGCATAAAAAAATAATGCAAACGCAAACATAAACACAAACTTGAACACAAACATAAAGCAAATGGAAAGACAAACATAAACGCAAACATAAACGTAAAAATAAAAGCAAACTTTAACACAAACATAAACGCAAACGCCAATATAAACGAAAATAATAACACAAACCTAAACGCAAATATAAACGCAAACGAAAACATAAACGCAAACATAAACGCAAAACTTAATACAAACGCAAACATAAACAAAAACGGAAACACAAACTTAACCTAAAGTAAACATGCATGCAAACAAAAACACAAACATAAACTTAAACGGAAACATAAGCTTAACAGCAAACATAAACGCAAACTTAACGCAAACATACAGAAAACACACAAACATAAACGGAAAAATAAATACAAATATAAGCGCAGACATAAACGCAAACATAAATGCACGAACATAAACACAAACAATAACGCAAACGCAACGATTAACGCAAACGTAAAAAGCAAACATCGCAAACGCAAAAAAAACAGCAAACATTAACTTAAACGCAAACATAAATGCAAACGCAAACATACACGCAAATAATAATGCAAAAATAATACAAACATCATCACCAACATGAAGGTAAACTTAAACGCAAACATAAAATCAAACAATAATGCTAACGGAAACTAGACGCAATCATAAACGCAAACATAGAGTACATTTAGGAACGGCTTCATAACTATTATAGATTAAAAATAATATTTAGTAAACAGTACATTCAAATGAAGTAGGCCTAATTGGTACAACGAAATGTAATTTGTATATTTTTCAGACAAAATTATATTTTTTGTGATGGGTAACGCCTTTAGTTTGATTTTGATTTTTTGCACTTTACGTCAGTTAAAATGTTGAAAATTTATTTTGAAATGATCAATAGTGAGTTTTCAAGACATCAATTTAGATTTTCGTACAAAAATTAATACTTGTAAAATATTACACAACGGCGATCAAGTCTAATCCTAACCCTAACTCTAACCCTAATCATAACCCTAACTTTAACTGCAGGGACGCGGGTACGGCCATTGGTTCGTTTTAATTATTAAATGTCATGAGCCACCGTGTCCCTATTGTAGTGTGCGCTTTAAAACTAATGTATGCGCTATACTACTCACAGGGAGCATGGAGTTTTTCGGGTCACTAGACTGCCGGGTCGCCGTTTGGATGCCCCTGATTTGTACGATTATAACCTTGTTTTCTAAATCTAAGTATTTAAATATAAACATATATTCGCTTTATTTCTTGGATCGTTAGGGCACGAGCCTACAATACCGCCCAGCACACACTAAGGCGTGTTGTTAGAAAGTCTTGAGATTACGTTAATCACTCTTCGTAATAGTGAGGTAGAAAGCACTTCGGCGCAGGGGCGGTACTACTGTACCGCCAGACCCCGCAATGCGTGAGGGGGGGGGGGGGGGGGGGGGGACAGCGCCATTTAGGGGCCCACAGTCGACCATAATAAATTTTTTAATAGTTAACTTTAATTTTCTTGCATTTTTGACTGATGGTTGTTTTGTAAAAAGATTACAGTAGCTGCGGTTGGAGTATCTTTATTCTATAGATACCACCCCACGCTCTTGTATATTCTTTTTCCCTGTTTTAAACCACTGTGAAAGCCGAATCTTTCTCCTACAATCAAACCTATCAAAGATAAGCAAACGATCAAACCACTTCCACGACTTATTTCCTTTTTTTTAATAGTCAGATTTGGGTGCTCATAAGATCATTTTAATACATTTGTACTAAACAATTTAAAAAGCAATTACTCCTCTTGATTATTACTGTTTTATAAAGTATTTACTAAAGAATGACATTGTATGAAAAGAAAATGTCTTTAAAATTTATAATATAAATACAAAAAAAAAAAAAACATAAAAATAAACACAACTCGAGACACCATTACTTATACAAAGCTTTCATGATTTATATTCTTTTGGCCGACTAATAGTTAAGAGGTCTTAGAGCATAGATAAAATAAAACCGATTTTCAAAACAGACTTGCTCTTACACACATGACACGTTGTTGTCATTTGTTTTAATTGAATTTTTTTTTCAAAACCCGAACAGGCCAACAAAGAGTGTCCTATGTTCGTATTTTGTGTTTGAATATATATATATATATATATATATATATATATATATATATATATATATATATATATATATATATATATATATATTGGGGGGACTAAACATTTTTTTGCGGGGTGGCCCTTTTTATCTAGTTCCGCCACTGCCCATGTTCGAAAGTCCCCGGTTACATTACCGCTTGGGCGCCACGCACGGCCACTGGTTCGGTTTTAATTACCGAAAGTCGTGTGTCACCGTGTCACTATAGTAGGGTGGAGGATACGCTTGATTTCATTTGTAAACCACTATAATACCATCGTATCCACAGCCTATCGCACTCTTTAAATCGAATGTATGCAGCATAGCGCTCATTTGATAGCCAGGGGTCCCAAATTTATATGGAAAAGATTTTAATCACTTTACCTGAAAGACAGACAGATAGACAAACAGGCAGACTTACTGACTGACTGACTGACAGAATGTCTTTTATCTCAAGCCCCTCCTACAAATGTCTTTTATCTCAAGCCCCTCCTACAAATGTCTTTTATCTCAAGCCCCTCCTACTAATGTCTTTTATCTCAAGCCCCTCCTACAAATGTCTTTTATCTCAAGCCCCTCCTACTAATGTCTTTTATCTCAAGCCCCTCCTACAAATGTCTTTTATCTCAAGCCCCTCCTACTAATGTCTTTTATCTCAAGCCCCTCCTACTAATGTCTTTTATCTCAAGCCCCTCCTACAAATGTCTTTTATTTCAAGCCCCTCCTACAAATGTCTTTTATCTCAAGCCCCTCCTACAAATGTCTTTTATTTCAAGCCCCTCCTACAAATGTCTTTTATCTCAAGATCTTCCTATGAATGTCCTATGAATGTCAAATGAATGTCCTATGAATGTCTTTGGCCATTATACACCTATGCAGTGGCGTAGCCAGGATCGTTTCAAGGGGGGGGGGTTCCAATTTTTACCCGGGGACAAACTTTCGATTTGCACCCCCCTCAAACTTTCGATTTGCACCCCCCTCAAACTTTCGATTTGCACCCCCCTCAAACTTTCGATTTGCACCCCCCCCTCTAATACTTTTTCTATATACCGAGGGTCTATGGGGGGGGGAGGTTATGACTCCCTAACCCCCCTGCCTACGCCCCTGCACTTATGACAGAATAGTATAAACACACATACACAACTATACTCACACATACACATTATAAACATACATACTAAGTATAAACACAGACAGGCAGGAAGGAAGGGCTGTG